AAAATTTCCGAAGCAAAAGAATTACGCTCAAGTAGTTAAAAATCACCTTATACCACCTTATTTTGCAACCTAGGGCCCTCTCACTTAATCATAGACTACTGGTAGTGAATTTAGGGGTGACTTTTGAAAATTTTGTATAAATATATTTGAGACCACTGAGTGGCCTTGAATTAAATGCAGTGGCGTTTCTAGGGAGTCCACAAGCCCCCCTAAAAAAATCTAGCTTAACCATAGATCGCCCCCCCCCCCATATTTCAAGACTCCTAGATACCGCCACTGGTAGATGTAAACTAAAAGAGTAAATTTGCTTGGAATAAGACTCATTGAAAAGCTTGTTCAAAGTAACATTATATCATCTTTGAGAAGAGTTCTGAGCATGCATAGTGATCATATAAAAATGATAAATGCTTTTATTCATTTACGTTTCTCCCTGTAGCAATTGCTAAAACAAATGCAGCTTGAAGGCGTCAGACCAAACCTATTAACTTTTAACACTGTTTTGGAGAGATTGCTAAGGATGGGTGGTAAAGGAAGGCAGAAAGCTGTACCATTAGTCAGTGAGATGAAAGCAATCGGTGTTGGTAAATACGGGAAACTTTTTGATACTAAAAGAGTCTCATTAACTCATTTATTTATATAGTTAGATGAATAAAGTTTTACCTTAAGTAGAATTATCATTATTTTAATATTATTTTTGAATTCAGCTTTTTTTTTATCATTGTTTTAATTCTTTGACTCTCGTTTTCAGAGCCAAGTCTTGGAACGTATGGGCTACTTGTAAATATATTTTATAAAGACAGTAAGTCTAAACGTATGCTACTGGAAACTTTATAGGTATGCTGTATGGTGGTAAAGCGAGTCAATTGGACGAGCGGTATGGTAGGGACACTGCCAACTACAGCAGAGTCGAGACAACTTACAAGAATGTGCTATCATTTAAATTTCAATCCTTCAATTGATGTTTGAGCAATTATAAAGCTTGTTGTTATAAAAACAGAACAATAGTAACGATAAATTAAGTAGACCTCAGCATCACAGCAATTATTTGTACTCTTAGGTAGGCCTATTATTCTTACTACTACCATCCTATTTCTGTCTATGTAGTTTGATATAATTACGTTATTATTTGTGAAGTGATTACATACGTATTTTAATTATATTATTACCTGTATTCTTTTTTTTTTTTTTAATCATTTGTATAGTTATTATGGTTAAACAGGGTGGTAATTCACATGAAAAGATACCCATTTGAAGTTATAAAAACACCTTTTTCTTAGAATGCATAAGCTCTAAACAAATACAATTTTGGTTGGAACATTTAAAATATTTAGGGATTGACAACATAATTGGCTGTTTTCTTTTTAGATCTCCCTCCCACCGACATGCTTTATGACATAATGGATACGATAGAAGGCCAACATTTTACTATACAGCACAAATCGGATGGTAAGTTTATAGTTGTTAACCAAGGATTTGTTCATACGCTGTAATACTTGTAATGCTTACACCCATACCCACTCTAGTTCTGTGTTACAAAATATGCTGATATGTGTGATTATGGCTATTTTCATAATCTTTTTTTGTGAAAAGAATATTGATTTTGTCTTTTTTTTTCTGTTTTATTATAGTTTTCTTTTTCAAGAATGCTATGGATGTGGTAGGTAGTAGTAAATTACTACTTCTATGTAGTTTAATATGCCCGACTGTATGCCTGAACTATTATAAAATAAAATAAATAAAAATAATAAAAGTATTTTTAGTAGTATTATCTGTCCTAAGTTATGTCTTTGTATTTTATTTGGTTGTTTATTTATTGAACATATTTATACAGGATAACATATCAGGAGGATATAACAACTTGTACACATGGTCCTGTTTTGTGATACAAATTATAAAATTATGCAAGATATTGAAATTTAACAAATCACATATTAATAAAATTCTAAAGAGACTTAATTACAAAAAGCTTAATCAAAAACCAAGAATCAATTGAGTTTAGTTAAGATACGTCGAAAAAATTATAATCGCAAGGTAAGTAATACTGAAAATGAATGATAAAAATCTTTATCCAATATTAATATAGTAAAATTCAGTAGTAAAAGTAGATGTAGATATAAAAGGTATATACCAATGTTCTATTTGGGCAACTTAAATTATGTATCATATGTATATAGCACTCTTTAAAACTTTTTGAAAGTAATGAAACCGCACATTGCACCATATAGTGCCCTCAAAATATATGTACATGCTCATTTGAATACCGCTTTTGCTCGTGATGAACGTAATGTTGTTCTGTAAAAGACATAAACTGGCCTGCTTCCATGTACGGCATGTCTGCATAGAAAACAGTCAGCATTGTTACTACATATTTTTTCATTTTCTTTCTTCAAGTGTTTTAAGCTGAAAGATGTTGAACTTGCCTACAGAGTGGATGAGCTTATGAACACTAAAGAAAATTACCGGCTACTAGGAGACAATTATCTACAGAATATATATTAGTAAGACAGTATTTTAGTAGTTTATCTATTGTTTGCTATACATTGAGTAATTAATTTTTATGCGTCCAATGTTTATAATGATAATACCCAGCCACCATTGACGCTCCATGTTTCAAATGTTTGTATAACATAATTTTTATATAATAATGAAGAGGATGACAGTTATGATGATGATGATGGTATTGGTGGATGATTGTAATAAGGAAACAAACGCTACGTTGGCAGCCGCAATACTGATGATCATTTATAATGCGCCAGTATTCTAAAACAAGATGCTGATACAATGCATCATTTTTAACTACAGTAATTTTTTCTAAAGTCAAAACAATTTTAATTGTAAATAAAATTATAATTTGCTTTGTCTATAGGGTGATGCAATATTTTACCTCTTGTATATGATTTTCATAGCAGAAGTAAAAGATTGTTTAAGGAGTGGATTTGTTTTAAGTTGTGAGAAAAAAAGTCCTGCTGTTACAGGAATTGAACCCAAGACCCTTAGATTAGAAGGCAAGCATCTTAACCACTAAGCTATTCCAAAAGTTGGAATACTTGAAAACATTCTCCTCTTTTTTCATTCACTTTGCAGTAGTAAATTCCTGCATTTAATCTGTTCCATGGATGGACCAGAAAATATGATAGCTTATTATGGGAAACTTGTGCCTTCTGTGCTTTACCCTAATTCTACCATATACATTGAGTTGCTCCGTTCGTTGGAGACTGCGATGAGTTACAGCACAATACCAGCCATTTGGCAAGGTGAGTGGGACTTTATTTGTGATGCCTTGTACTACCTAAGGGTGAGCTCCTGCTACACTTTTTCCTTTAGTTTCTGTAATAATTAAATGACACGTTTCTATGTACACAATTCTTATAGATATCAGTAATTATGGACAGCGTTATCGGCAAGAACTTGTGAACACAATCTTGGAAGTGATGGCGAATGCTGTGGAATTGGATTCAGAGGTAAGCAGGGTTTTAAGCGATTCTCGAATGCCTGCGATAGATAACTTTAAAACATTTTAATTACCATAATTTTAAAACTTTCATGGTGGTTGCCACACTGGATACAAGGTATTTTGAATAAATATGTTGTTTTTTATACCAGGTATTGTCTGCTGAGGTTTTTATATGTACTTTTAAATATTTGTTTTTGGTTCGTATTTACTCTACTCCATTCAAAGGCTTGCTGTTGATATGTTGCTGATTTTTCCATTTTTTATCATTATTTCTTTGGACATTTTAATGCTCTGATGAGCTTAAATTTATCATGCCTTTACTATTTCTCCCTGCTTGTGTACCCCGGTCGACTCGCAATTACCATCAGTACACTGTTTCTACTCCCTTCTATCGCACTATGGCTGCCTCCCACTCGGACTCACTTCTTCATCGTCCAAACCTTGATTCTATGTAATTTTCTCCCATCTTCTTGTTTCCCTTCATCTTTTAACCTCAAGACTTTTAAAAGTTTCATTAACAACCTCCCTCTAGCCACTCTAGCCTAATTCTAATTGCTCCTTTGCAGGGCGTTGTTTGTGTTTCCCTTTTTTTTGCATTCTCTAATAACCAAAAATTGTATATGGCTGTAGTTAAATTAGAAGATATGGTATATGGATAATATGATATGATACACACGTGTGTCTTTTTTATCAGGTTAAAGAAGAATTTGTCAAAGTTGCCAGAGATGTGATGAAGGCTTTTGAAGAATCACTTACAAAGAGGGACACACCCCTGAGGTATAATTTGTGTCCGAGATTTTAGTTTACTTATGGTTATCTTTGGGTATTTTCCTATACTGACTAATTTCCTGTGGTAGTAGAAAACAACATAGAATGAACGTTACTCCAATTAAAGAGATGGAGGCCATGATTCAACGTTTCGACCTTTATTGGATTATCTTCAGGAATGAGAAAACTTTGACAGCGATTATAAAAAATGCTACAAGCAATATGCAAATGAGGGGATTAACAAAGCTAGTACAGTACAACAACAATTATGAGAGGGGCAATTAAGTTGGGTTAGATTACATATCAGATTAACAATTTCAGCTCCCAAAAAAACAGGATTCCTTAACTTTGCCAAAGAACGATTCATTTGCATGGAATCCATTTTGTGTCCAGCAGGTTAGATACGAATTCTTGTGTTTTTAATCCTTATCTTGGTTATCGCTTACAAGCCCAAAGAGAATCGTTACTTTCAAGATAAACACATCATTGAATAATAATGTGGTTTGTTAAACTATTACTATGTGTATATTTGTGTGTTTCAGAGTAAATGTTTTTACTTCCATTTCAGGTGGTCTGCTAGTAACCTAAGTCATGTACTTATCATATTTATACAAGGCCAGGATTTGAAATTAGCAAGGCAAGTAATTGTGTAAATTAATACGTAGTATAATGATTTGATTTGATTATTATCAAGTCAACCTCGATTGTACATTCATAAAACATACAAAGCATTGGTAGAAATAAAAATATAAGTATATAAAAATATATTTAAAAAAAATTTATATATAAATATATAAAACGTACAATACCAAATAACAAGTTATCAGTCTAAAAATATTAAGGTATGCAATTGGAAAAGAGAGAAAAAAAAAGAAACAAGTGAATCATAAGTTAGACTAGGTAATGTAAACTATTGACAATTGTGCACACAAACATATAGGTATATATAGGGTTTGTTACACCAAAAGCATTGTAATGTATTTAAAAATAGAGGCATTCCATAAGGTGTATACCTTTGCCTCCAGCGGCACAACCTCGATGAAATAATGGAATCGCTCATCGTATTCGGGCACCTTGAGTCCTGCAGCCTAGTCTCTGCAAAGTAATTGAATTGCCTTCTGTATTTAGGCACATTATTTTCTTGAGCAATTCCATTATGTTATTCTATGCTCCAGGATAAAAAATCAAATTTTTCAATGACTGAGTGACTCAGACCTTGTCCTTTGCCCTTTTCTTTTGAAAATTGAATGGTGTCTTTCTTTGATTATTGTGTACCATTCCACTAAATATTATGATGATCCATTAATTAGTTTTTGCTTAATCTTGCAAGCAGACAGACAGCCGTAAAAGCAAAACCTCCTTTGCGGAGGTAATTAATGTATTGAAGAATTAGAACGAAAGAGTGATATTGTAATGAGTTTTTCATTTATTCAGTGACGTATATCCCCAAGCAATGCAATTGTTATCTGCAGATCAAGAATAGTAAAACAGCCTGAATTGGATGTGTTTTTGCATGTAACTGAGTTTTGTAGGTGTTGAAAAATGTGTGAGAATTATGAATACTGTTGATATTAATTTTATTACAATAAGCATTAACAATGTTATTAATTTAATTATTATTATTATTATTATTAGTAATTGGAATAATAATCATTATTGTTTTTATGAATAATAGTATTAACATTGTAACAATAGTAATAGCTATTAATTACTCCAACATTTTTCTCTACAGACAAGTATTACAGATTTTCCAGCAAAACCAAATAATACCAAGGTATGTTTAGGAACTACAATTCAACTTGATGTATTTAAACAGAAGACCGCCTTCAATAGTTTATATAAACACAATGGACATGGTTGCATTGTCAGTTACCCACTATGCATGGTCATTTAGTTTGGCTATACCCTGTCTTACGTTTTCAATATGAATTTTGATAAAGGATTATGTTGCTGGATTAGCTATTAGAGATATGAGTGTTTATACCATCTAAACACAAACTTGTTTACATACTCAGATATTATTGTAACTTATTCTTGGATGCTCCTTTAATCTAATCCATATTTTATCTTATGATCTTATCTCAATAATTCACAGGGGCTCTGTCCAAGTGTCCCTTTTGTGAACCTGCCTCTACTCACCAACAATTGATTAAAGTACAAACTGCAATATTTACATAAGTAAAAGCAATAACACATTTCTTAAGCCCTGTCCACACTGTTAAATTTTATGTGACAATTTATTCTTTACATAGGAGAATGTGTGTTCAATGAATACATAAATGTGCATGATGATGTCACATTAGACCCAAATAATAACATGTCACATTTGTTTGTCACTTATATTTTGAGATTGTGGACAGAGGTTTATTCTTTACATAGGAGGATGTGTGTTCAATGAATACATAAATGTGCATGATGATGTCACATTAGACCCAAATAATAACATGTCACATTTGTTTGTCACTTATATTTTGAGATTGTGGACAGAGGTTTATTTTTTACATAGGAGAATGTGTGTTCAATGAATACATAATTGTGCATGATGATGTCATATTAGACCCAAATAATAACATGTCACATTTGTTTGTCACTTATATTTTGAGATTGTGGACAGAAGTTTATTCTTTACATAGAGAATGTGTGTTCAATGAATACATAAATGTGCATGATAATGTCACACACATTACACCCAAATATTAACATGTCACATTTGTTTGTCACTTATATTTTGAGATTGTGGACAGAGGTTTATTCTTTACATAGGAGAATGTGTGTTCAATGAATACATAAATGTGCATGATGATGTCATATTACACCAAAATTTTAACATGTCACATTTGTTTGTCACTTATATTTTAAGATTGTGGACAGAGGTTTATTCTTTACATAGGAGAATGTGTGTTCAATGAATACATAAATGTGCATGATGATGTCACATTAGACCCAAATAATAACATGTCACATTTGTTTGTCACATATTTTGAGATTGTGGACAGAGGTTTATTCTTTACATAGGAGAATGTGTGTTCAATGAATACATAATTGTGCATGATGATGTCACATTAGACCCAAATAATAACATGTCACATTTGTTTGTCACTTATATTTTGAGATTGTGGACAGAGGTTTATTCTTTTCATAGGAGAATGTGTGTTCAATGAATACATAAATGTGCATGATGATGTCACATTAGACCCAAATAATAACATGTCACATTTGTTTGTCACTTATATTTTGAGATTGTGGACAGAGGTTTATTTTTTACATAGGAGAATGTGTGTTCAATGAATACATAAATGTGCATGATGATGTCACATTAGACCCAATAATAACATGTCACATTTGTTTGTCACTTATATTTTGAGATTGTGGACAGAGGTTTATTCTTTACATAGGAGAATGTGTGTTCAATGAATACATAATTGTGCATGATGATGTCACATTAGACCCAAATAATAACATGTCACATTTGTTTGTCACTTATATTTTGAGATTGTGGACAGAGGTTTATTCTTTACATAGGAGAAATAGGAGAATGTGTGTTCAATGAATACATAAATGTGCATGATGATGTCACATTAGACCCAAATAATAACATGTCACATTTGTTTGTCACTTATATTTTGAGATTGTGGACAGAGGTTTATTCTTTACATAGGAAAATGTGTTTTCAATGAATACATAATTGTGCATGATGATGTCACATTAGACCCAAATAATAACATGTCACATTTGTTTGTCACTTATATTTTGAGATTGTGGACAAAGGTTTATTCTTTACATAGGAGAATGCGTGTTCAATGAATACATAAATGTGCATGATGATGTCATATTAGATCCAAATAATAACATGTCACATTTGTTTGTCACTTATATTTTGAGATTGTGGACAGAGGTTTATTCTTTACATAGGAGAATGTGTGTTCAATGAATACATAAATGTGCATGATGATGTCACATTAGACCCAAATAATAACATGTCACATTTGTTTGTCACATACTATTTGACAGTGTGGACGGAGCTTTATTCTTTGCATAGTAGAATGTGGGTTCAATGAATACAGTGAAGCTTTCGCTTTGTGCAGAAATGCACTATAATATAGAAGTCTCCAGAATTCCTGTCATTATTGATTACTAAAATAACTACAAGCCACAAAACCAAATATATTTATTTAAAAGATATGTATATAAAATTAAGCAAACAAATACCTTCATATTGTATTCTCTATAATATATATATGAATGACATGGTTATTATTTCTACTATGATTATTAGAATGAATGCTGTAATGCATCTAATAAAATTATATGATACTAATAAACGACATGATATCATTGATGATGATGTTAATTATTGTGTGGATAATTTATTTAAAAGATATATTATTTGGGGTAAATTTGAAGGGAAAAAAAACACAAAAAGTGTTCAGTTTTCAATAAGTTTAATAGACCCAAACAATTTCATGTATATTTTTTGAATACCTACCTGGAATAACTGATAGAAGCCATCATTACTGATTTGTGTGGTTTCCAATGTTTAGAGACTTTTTGCTATGCATTTTTGGATCCTTAAATTGATTAACATGTAATTAAGGACTTTGCAGTTTTTAAAATAAAAGCTAAATTAAATATAAACATTATTAAAGAGAACGATATAAAGTAAAGAGAATTAAATGTTGAATTTATTGTTTGTCTTATTTATTTTTTTATCAGCTTACCACAAACAGTACAGTATGTTGTGTTTTTGTTCTTTTAGCCCAGGGGTTGTGGAGACTTTTGTCGATGCTTGCATGAGGATAAAAAATAAAGACATGGCATATGTAAGTATATTTTATTTAATTTTTTAAACTTTTAAATTATAGCTAATAAACATTCTAACAAGATGTGACTGTAACATATATGTATCAAGCATAAATTTTTTTTTTTTTAAGAATAGTTAAACCCTCTCCAGACTAATCTAATCTGGTAATTTACATAACACCTTTCTTTACAGACACAAAGTGCTGTAAGTATTTTCCTGGTCATTGGGCCCACATGCATTGGTTTTGCTGCCATATTGGCACAGGAGCAGGCAACCCCACCAGGTACCCATTTTATACTCCTGGGTGGAGAGATGTAGATAAAGTGATACAATGCACAGCGAGGAATTGAAACCCCGACCTCGAGGTTGGGAAACCAAACCGTTCCCACTGCGCCAAACCGCTTCCCTCGACTATCAAATTCGATTTGACAAAAACATGTCATATGCCTATTAAATATGATCATGTCATGTTGATTATTTATTTAGGCGCCCAGATTGCCAATAGCGTAGACACAGCCCACGAATTTCACGTCGGCAATCAGCAATTGCCGACCACATTGGCGAGCCAGAATTGCTACAGGACGGCAATTTTTTGCCGACCTAGGCCTAGATCTCTTTGCTTCAAAAACTGCTCGGAAAGTCAAAAACTTTGACTGAAACAGGCTATAACAGACACTAAATTTCATGTACGTCGTCAACCAAGGAAATTGGTGGTTCATAAAACAGATTCGTTTGTACAACAACTATTTCTAATAGGCATGCAGTATGTACGATTTTGATATTTGTGTACAATACAATCGTCTTGTCTTTCTCGCCTAGTCGTTTCGTAGGCTAAGCCTAGGTAGGAATGACGCTAGCTAAATCTATTATTTGTCTTCATTTCATAGTATTATCGTATTTAAAATGCTGTTTATTATCTAAAAACAACAAAATTCAACATATTGTAGGCCTAATCCTACGGTCTGTTTAAACGCAATCACGATCACATCTACTGACAAGTACTGAACATGTGTGGGAAATCCCTGATAGATCATTCTGGGCATGCGCATGAACAGGCATGGGCAGTTTTGAAGCAGCCTGTGATGAGACGATCGTAGCTTTTACTGAAGTGATATTTCCCATGCAAAGATAAACGATAAAACTAATGCTAAAACGAAATTTATTCGGCGATGTTCTTATGTAAAACATGTATTATACTACACTATTAAATTAATACAAGTACGACCATTCTTTCACCAGCAATATATAGATGACTGATGTAAGGTCGAGCGTTCGGAAAATTTGTAGTTTATGGCCTAGGTAGCAAAACATTGCCGAGGCTACCGACCTCGGAAAATTTAAGGTCGACAAATTTTTTCCGACCTAATTTTTTCTTGATTTCGTGGGTTGGTAGACATCCCTGTCGTTTGAGTAGGTGGCAGTCCATTTCACAAGACAAAAATACACACACGATCAATGGCGGCGGAACATTTTTTAAAGTGGGGGGGGGGGCATTTCATAAGGTCCAGTATGCAAGCAAAGCGAGCATCTAGGCTGGGGCCCAGGTGGCCACCATGAGGGCCCCCGGTGGGGGTCCAGGGGCGAGGCCCCCTGAAAGCTACGGATATTTTACGAAGTTATTTTATACGCATCAAGCTACTGTAATGTGATTTCATATTTGTTGTAATTTCCAGTAGTTCGACCCGGGAATTCGAAATAGAAGGGCCCATGGAAGGTACTGTCACAGATAGAAGACCTATACTACCTCAGCCCCACCATGGTTGGGGCTGAGGTAAGAAAATTTGTGATTATGGCACCTCTAGATGGCCTGAAATTGCACTTCCAGACATAAAATTAGAATATACTGTAGTTATCTTTATATCTCCATTTTTTTTATTGAACAATTTAGGAGGGCGGGCCGGCTGGGTCCCCTTGAATCCGCCCCTGGGTACTTCAGCAGATGGAGAATCTACACGAATCTATAAGAAAATTTGTGATTATGGCACCTCTAGATGGCCAGAAATTACACTTAAAATTTGAATATAATTTTCCTTATATATCCATTAAAAAACGACCTCAATGAATTATTTATTATGAGGGTTATCCTTGATATGGGTTCCCCGACGAAAACTTCACTTTCCCCCCCCCCCCGATGGATAAAAATTACCCTTCTATGTAGCTCGGAAATGATACTCTAACTGTGGCGGGTCCAGGAAGTCGAAATAGAGAGGTTCCAGGGAGGGTCTTGCGTAAATAGAATGTCCACCCGCCTCAGCCCCACAACTGTTGGGGCTGAGGTAAGAAAAAATTATGATTATGTCACCTCTAGTTGGCCGGAAATGACACTCTCAGATTTAAAGTTGAATACAATTTTTGTCTGTTTTCTCCATTTTTTTATAATTTTGTAAAAGATAGGAGGATGGGGTCCCATGCTGACTAGGTTCCCCCTTGAATCTGCCACTGTTCAATATAACACTTGACATAGCCACAAATGATTAATTCATAATGTCAAGCGAAAGAGTTTAAATGTGGTTATTTTATGCTAGTTTGAAGGTTTACTGTAAGCCAATCAGTTACACTTTAACTATACATCTTCGTGATTAGTATAAAGAGAACTGGAACGTCGCTTTATTAAGAGTGCCAACCTTCCCTCATATGCTTAAATACCGAATTCACCAATGCAGGCGATTTTTTCTGCATGCTCGAGTGTGGGTTTCAAGGAAACTTTACAGACGCACTTATACAGACGTCAATCAACATTTGGTTGTTGAATTCAAAAAGGGAACTTGTAATGTTCATTAGAAAAAGAAAAAAAAATCTATATTTTATAATAATAATAGGTCAATTTATAAGGCGTAAATAAACAAGGTGTAAGCACCAAATAATAATAATAATAATAATAATAATAATAATAATAATGATAATAATAATAATAATAATAATAATGATAATGATGATGATGATGATGATGATGATGATGATGACGATGACGATGACGATGACGATGACGACGACGACGACGACGACGACGACGACATTGCAGCGTTCGTAAAATGTTTGTCACTGGTGATGGGGACAGTCACAAAAGTGGGGAGGCTCCCCCAGTAGAAAAAGTGGGTGGGCCAATGGCCCCCTGGCGCGCCCCCCCCCGAATTAGATCTCCAAGAATTGACTTCTTCCAACTTGGACCCTATGAACCAAAATCCTGCAACATTGACAGGCATTGAACCCTGCGATTGGAAGGCAAGCATCATCTAAACCACCAAGCTATTCAACTCCAGTAATTTAGTGATAACGAAAACTTGTCCCTAATTATACTTGATTGGGATGACCTTGATGTAAGGACACTTGCTAATAGGATTTTGTTTGTGACCTTTGATAGAGGGACGTTGATAGGGGAAACTTTGATAGCGGGAACTTTGATAGGGTGGGACTTTGCTAGTGGAAACTTTGGTAGTGGTCCCAGGGGGTACTTTGAAACATGGACTTTGATTGGGAAAACTTCGATACGAAAAAAATTGCTAAAGGAAACTTGAATGGGCAATCTTTTCTAGGGGAAACTGCTATAGAGGACTTTTCTAGGGAGAACTTTGCTAGCAGGCTGATCTTTGCTGGCAAGGGTGAACTTTGCTAGGGGAAACTTTCATGTTGTTTTATGTTCCTCGTCAACATCTGCTGCGTCCATAATGCCCTTTTGAAAGAATTCTCCAAGAACCACCAATTCCATACTTATCGTCAGTGGCATATCTAGAAGTCTTGAAATGAGGGTGCTGATGGGGGTGGGAGCGCGAAGGTGAAGTGGGGCGCTCGATGATCAGTTGAGGGGCGCTAATTTGCAAAATAAGGTGATTTTAGGTGATTTTTAACTAATTGTCTATTATTTTTGGGGGAGCGGCTAGGAGGGGTGGGAGGCATGAGTAATTTTTAGAGGGGTGTGCTCCCCTCACACCCCTAGATATGCCACTGCTTATCATACCAGGCCATCTTCACAATTCCATCACACTTGCCCTCGAACAGTCTCCCTGGAAAATCAATCTTTTCCTGTAGTCCTATTGCATGGAATGAACTACCCCACCCTCCAAAACACTATTTTCACGTTTAAAATTTCACTCAAAAAATTAATTCGCTCAAGGTAACACATTTAGTTGCACTGGCAATGCATTCTTATATTTACAAGCCCCTGGCTTCCTGTAAGTAACATCGTTTGCATTGTTTTTTCAACACGTATTATTGACTGCAAATGAAATGGAACTTTGATAGGGGAAGCTTTGCTAGGTGAAACGTTGGGAAATATTGATATGGCTGTCTCGGCAAACTTTGATAATAAAAAAAAAAGTGATAAAAAAAAACTTGGCTAGGGGCAAGTAGTTTGCCAGCTGGCATTGCTACCATCAGTGACAGGAGACTTCTTTATGAAAGAATTGAGCCCCCAAAAATGTTGTAATTTCTAGGCTATTGATGAGTAGAAATACAAGGTAAGCCTAAATACGTTATCAATTTGCTACTGTGTAATCAAGGTCAGAGTTCAATTACAATAAAACTTAGTAAATGATAAAAGTTTGATGTTATATTGTTTGGCACATTACATATTATGAGATAAGTGATTTTATTGTAGATTGGATCAAGGTAATTCAACAGAAGGACGCACATCTCCGCTCTCGAACATAGCGCGTGCGTACAGTCCTTTGATCTTTACTGTGGCATCGACAATCCGGTACTAATTGCGAGTACAGCCGTCAATTATTAGTCTATGTGTGCCATTCGTTTTATGGTGTTAGTTTTTATTTTATTAATTTTGAGTACATCGCAATGTTTGTTACATCTGATTTTTTTTACCGCGAGCTTGTTAAATGCTTCTATAAACTGCAATTTGATTTGTGAAAATTTACCAAGAAAATGAAAAGTTATAGCAATTTAAAATTTACGAATTTTATAAAATTTCATGTACTTGTGTAACATTAATCTGTAATTTTGATAATGTTGGCATAAGGTGCCGAGAACGAACATTTGAGTATATACGGAACATTTATTAATTTTTTCTGCGAAGTGAGTCTCATGAACAACAATTCACCACAATTTTGGTAAAATTAATGTTGAAATGAAGAATGTATTTTCAGTCTAATGTTAGTGCAAAATATCATTAGACCTTTATAATCACCGCACGACGCGCGATTATCATGGCAACTAACACGCGCGTGGGTAATTCGTCACGTACGTACAGAGTTATAACCTTTGATGTCCCGAGATGTGCGTCCTTCTGTTGAATTGTCTTGATTGGATAAATAATGATAATGATACTGTAATAACATTATGTTATCCCAAAAAATGAAGTAGGGAACATTTTTTTTTATTAAGAAAAATTAAGTTGATAATTTTTTGTGATCTGTGCAATGTAGATACTGAAAAGGGTGTGTTCAAACTGTACTCTAAATTAAATAAATTATTGGAGCAGCTGCTATAAAATATAATAAGTCAAATTCAATGTATTATTTATAATATTAGTTCCAGTTTTATAATTATCTACATTGTTTGCTCCTTTTTTTAGGATATCTTAAAATTGGCAGTATCCAACGGATTGACGTTGGCGTCAAGTCTGTCACAACGAATCAAAACAGACTTCGACCTCAGTGACGTTGACAAGTAGGTTTTGTTTGTAGATATATTTGCTACTTCTTTTTTAAGCGCGTTTTATTAACAATTTTAAAATAATGACAAGCATATTGTACATGTATCACAGTAAAACAAACTGTCTATATAATTATATAATTGTCATTGATTGATTGGTGGTTAGATTAATTGATTATTATTTGAGCACGGTGGATCTTATTAAACTGATGTAGGCCAGCTTGTTCTGAAGCAAGCTCTTTTTTTTTTGCTTTTTTTGCTTTTTTTTTCTCCTTCAATATTCGATTGTTAGCTGAATTACATAAAATTTACAATTGAAAATTCTTACATTAAAAAGACCAAACAATAAAAAAAATCATTACACACTAAATACACTTTTGATTAATATTATCAGGTACAAAGTTGTTAATAATATTGACATATAATAAATTTAAGCTGTTATCAAGCATATCCAAATATGTTTTATAAATTGTGTATTGGGTTAAAAGAGTGGAGCTGTATTTAATTCTATACTTTTAACTTTAAATTATTTATTATATTTTTAATATTACTTAGTAATATTTGTTATTTAAATTTGTTTTTCTTTCTAGGAAACGTGTTGAAGACATGTTAATGGAAGCCGATCTCATATAGCATCATACCCTGATTTCCATAAGCATGCCGTAGATATGCCTTAATCATAAATTTTCTTACCTCAGCCCTAACCATGGTGGGGCTGAGGTAGTCTAGACCCCATTCCCTCCCTGGGTGCCCCCTGTTTCAAATTCCTATATGCGCCATTCAAAGGCTACCCTACTTGTGCTTATCAACAGCATTTAAATTGCAAAAATAAATGTTCTGTACATAAAATAACTAGACTAATATTGATAGGGTCACATGGTGCAAAAAGATTCATTTTGTGATTATCATGCGAAGTCTCATGTATCCAAGGTCAGTGGTAGCGCCAGGATTTGCTCGGCGAGTGTCCGCGGTCTCCGAAGGGGAGGGGGGGCGGCGATGTCCCCTTAAAAAGGTGGGCGTGGTCATGCGTCGCTCAAAATTTCCAAAAAGTGTTCCAGGGAGAACGACGAAAAAAGTAGGCGTGGTCGGGCGTCGCTCAAAATTTCCCGAAAGTGTTCTAGGAGGAGAAGCCACCGAAAAATATGACAATTTAGGGGTTTCAAATTCTTATTTAATCAATTTTTTAGTCTACTAATATGTAGAAAATTCATATACAGTACATTTTTTTCTCCCCTACGAATTGAGGTTTTCTCCCCCCCCCCTCAGTTGGTGCCACCCCTGTCCAAGGTTTTACATTTGCATTGTATCCAACTATTCTCCACATGTTCCTGGTTGAGATCTGGCACGATCTAGCGACACACACAACTACGTCCTCGGATTCAAAACAAAACTCTCCTTAAATCTGGTTATCAAGACTTCTACGGAATTCTAGCTGTCTATATAATATACATTTGGCAGTTGTTGGCATTTATGAAGTTGATTATATTAATCTGCATATTGCGAAGACATAGTCACGCAATAAGACAATACTGTCCTATACTATGCTACAAGACTTTATCGTACAAGATACTGATGCCCTATGCTTTCATTACTTAATGTAAACCCGTAACAAGACATTGATGCTATAGAATTTCGTTACAAGACGCAGGTTAATCATGCAGCAGTTTTAATTTAATTTCAGGTAACTTGAACTCTTTTCAATGGATTAGCCTTGACTTTGATAAATAAGAAAATAAAAAAAATAAAACAGAAGACATTTCTTTCTTCTTGTATTTATATTTGCTCTGTCAAATTGAATTTACAATATTGTACTGTAATTTGCAATAACTAATTCCTTAATATATAGATACAGTAAAATCATTAAATCCGGCTTACAGTTTGGAATCGCATGCTGTAATATCATTTGAGAAAATGTAGTAGTCCCAAATCGAGGTGTAGGTGCCTGCAATATAGTTGTTGTATACCTCATACATCACTGGTGAACTTTGATCGAGTGGGCCCTTGAAACTAATGATACAAACAACAGAAGAAACAGTGGTAGGAACAGTAATGATGATGCTTATGATAATGGCGAAGACTATGACGATGTTGTCGACAATGACGATGATGTAGATGGTGGCGGTGATGGTGGTGGTTTTATTCCATATTTATAGAGGGTGACAATTCTAGATTATCCTAGAATTCTGCAGGGCCATCTTATATAAATAGAAAAATAAGATGTTTTATAAGGAGGCTTTTGGAGTAAAGATGTATTTAGGTCGTGGACAAATTATGTACTGTCACAGAATTTGGAACCCTGGATTGGAAAGCAGGGCGACAGACGTGCTCTGGTGCCACTGGATAATGGAGATAACAACATTAGCAAATTACTACAATAATAAGAGTGTACACAGACCTAGTGTACAAACATAAGATATATGTTCGTGAAATTAATGAAAAAAAAAATTGATAAAAAAAACTATCGATTGCAATAACAATCATTGGATAAACAAGTATTACAGGAACATTAAATGGAAGAAAAAACCCTTATATTTGTAGTAAACCAAAAAACAGGATGGATTATGGGCATCTGGCTCATTCCTGATGATGACATAATTAATGTCGAAATATTGAATCCCGACACGATGGTGTGCATTTCGATACATGGAGTATGTATTATACTATCTTATCTGAGATTAATCAGTGGACCTTTCGGTAAGTAAGTATTATACTATATTATTTGGATTATGTAAGGTTATATAAAACTGCCTTGCAATTGAACTAGAATGTGTAGGCCCTATCTACTGACTTTAATTGGTGTCCGACAAGAGCGGGTGGAATGAGAGGTAAATACAATTATTTACAAATACATAGATAAATTATAAATACATCAAAATCGAAAAATACAAGTGAAACCAATTAAATAGTGAAAATGATATTAAAGATATACTGTCTGTCATGAGCTAATAATAATATAATGAAAAATTCAGTTCTATTGATTTTTATTTAAGTAGGTGGTTATTATTTATAAACAGGAGATAATTATTTATAAACTGAGGGAAAAGGGGCATAACCACCCGTTTTGTCACCATTTTCCCCCAGTTTTTAGATATTCAGAAATCTGTATCTCATTTTCACCGTTCCCGCGTTTCTCGTCAAATATATGTTTGTGTCTTAGAAAAATCAGTTGTACAAAATATCAACATTTTTTTCCTTCGGAGCCTCTTTAAGGATTTTTGTAAATTAGCTGTAAATCAGCGATTTTTTTTCTGGTTTGATTCTGGTTGAATCTTATTAACTTTAGTTATAGCTATTTAAAACTTAAATTGAATTTTGGATATTTTTGACAATTTATAGACCTACTTAGCGTAGTACCACAGTACAAAGGCTTAAAGAACTAAATGGGGCAAAAAAAAAAGATAAAACGAAATTTTATGATGAGGAGGAAAGGGTGGTGATGATGATGATGATCTGAAATGAAGAGGAGCTTATGACGTCACGGCAGTGTTTTGTGACAGTGTATAGTGGCTCAAGGACCAGGTGACGTGGCGTGATCACGCCCTGACCTAAATACATTTTTTGTGGTTGTGATCCTAATCGTATATGAAATATGACGTGATTCTGCAACGAAGTGTGTAATGTATATTTGATTGTCAGATGTAACTAGAATCTCGAAAGTAGAACAATCTGAAGTGATTAAAGCTGATTATTACAATCAGAATCACCGGTAATTGTAAACAAAACATGTTTGTACAATACGAGTAAACACTGTTAGCTGAACTGTGCTATCAATTAGGCCTACTAGAAAAGTATCCGGACAGAAGTGTTTTTATCGGTTTACTATTATCGATTCGTTAGGCGTCAATCATTTTATTGACCGTCAATAAACAATGTCATACAGTGGAATTGTGTGCATCCTTTTCGTATATTTCAGTGGCGGATTCAGGAATTTAAAATAGAAACGGGCAAATGAGGAACTTGTAGAAAATACTGGCGGTTCCAGAACCCTCTGTCAAGTTTTGAACTGAAGTACAAAATATTATGCCTATGGCACCTCCAGAGAGTACTTTAACTGTAATTTTATTTTCCTCCTTTTTATTTTATTCTCTTGGATCAGATTTTGGTTATATTTAAGTTTAGTTAAATGCTTGTAGTGCACTGGAAATTGAAAAAAAAAATACATAAGACCTGAGCAACATATGTGAAATCCACTTTAAGAATTTACTGAGAAAATTGTCTTAGAAAAGGAGTCATAAATGGGATGCATGATTACTTGATTGACTAATCTATTAAATCAATTTATAACTACAGTTAAGTACAAACTATTATGCCTATGGCACCTCTAGAGAGTACTTTAATTGTAATTTTCTTTTCCTCCATTTTTTTTAATTCTTTTTGATCCGATTTTAGTTATTTTTAAGTTTAGTTAAATGCTTGTAGTGCATTGGAAATTGAAAAAAAAAAAAACAAAACAAAACAAAACAAGACAAAAAACAAAACAAAACAAAAAAAATACCATAGGACCTGAGCAACATATGTGAAATCTTTAAGAGTTTTCTGAGAAAATTTTTTATTATTATTATTATTGGCTGAGGATATCGGCACTGCCGCAGTGCGAAAAAAAACTGCTGTTTTCTATCGGCACTGCCGCAGTGCCAAAAAGCTGCTGTTTTCTATCGGCACTGCCGCAGTGCCAAAAAGCTGCTGTTTTCTATCGGCACTGCCACAATGCGAAAAAAGCTGTTATTTTTTATCGGCATTATTGCCGCAGTGCGAGAAAAGCTCCGATTTTTTATCGGCACTGCCGCAGTGCCAAAACACTGCAGTTTTCTATCGGCACTGCCACTCGAAAAGCTGCTGTTTAATTATCAAATGGATGTTTTATCTATAGATTATGGTATCAATAATTGGTTAGGTCTAGCCTAGCCTATAATATTGTTAACATTATATTATACATGTTTTACAATTAGATTATAATTATTTCTAATTATTAAATATATACATAGCCTATATCTAGGCCCATACATAAAACAAAAAATAAAACAACAAAAATTTTAAAATAGTAATAATAATAATAATAATATAATAATAACAGTGCTCGAAATGAATAAAAATTGTTTAATTAATGAGATGAATCAGCATATATTAAATCAACTTGCGTCTATGCAAAACCTGTTTTTTTTTTTTTTTTTTTTTTTT